TTTCCTTAGATAGAAAACTTTGAATCAATTTGACTGTATGATCTGGTTGAACTGTAAAGTGCCTTGAGATGACATGTGTTGTGAATTGGCACAATAGGGCCAATTCTGCTTTACTTCAATCCTCAAAAAATCACCAGAATGTAGAAAATAAAGTATATTGTGAGAAAAATGTTCAACAGATCACTTATTGTTATTCAGTAACATTTACTGTTCTATTAAAATTCCACATTTTGCCGCTTTGTTTTAGTTAAATCCTCTAAAAACCTCCAACCTATAGCTGCACCTATCCTCATTAACACATTTGTTTTGGATTGCCTTCAACTCTTCTAGTTAAACAGTTCATCATTAGCTCAACTTTTTTAGTCCAAATGTTTTTAATGTTCTTTTTTGTTTTTGCATTTTTTATTTTATTTATTTATTTTTTCCTACTTGCTTTGATTCTTTTTTATTTTTCTATATTTTTATCATGTAAACCACTTTGCATTGTCTTTGTACTGAATGGTGCTATACCAATAAATTTGCCTTGTCCAAACTATTGCAAAATCTGGGCCAAAGCAATTTATTTATTTTATTAATTTATTCTTTGAAACACTATAAAATAACTAACAGTAGTTTCTAGTGATTTTCTTCACACTTCCTGAGAAATGACTAATTGTTGCATTAGAAGCGGAAACGCAGCGTCACGTGACCCAGTCCTCTTTCCCGCCTGTATTGCCTTTGATCAGTTATTGCTCCGCAGGATAAGCAGCGGAGTGATACATCTGTTGCGGAAAACTTGAGACTCTGCATTGATATCCTGCGTGTGGTGGAGGGGAAGAGACATTAATTTAAAAGATTCCGGTTCTGTTAGCCTTGGCTGCTGCAGCTGACGGATCCCCACTGTGGAAGCGAGCGTCTCTGGTTGCTGTAACTGCAGCAGCACAGTTTGTCTGCATCTTTGGTCGAGAGGTCTGGAGTCAGACAGGTAACTCCATAGAACACTGGGGAAACGGTTCAGGTCACAGTCTGCACTAGAACTATTTATCTTTTTTTGGGGGAAAAGTGTTTTTAGGCACTTGTGTATATAGAAGAATGATGGGAATAATTGGCATTCAATTTTTTTTTTACTATATTGTAAATTAAATATGTAGTCTCCTAAACCTGTTGGGCCTCTA